AATTTCAGATTTCTAAACCTTCTAGATCAAGGTTAGAATTAGCACCAGTCAGTCGGTCAGTCACGATCGTCTATATATAGATATATTAGATTTCATTTTCGATTCGGCAAGTCCCATCATCCGATTGCTCTTCCAGGAGGCAAAGAATGCAAAACGACCTCATCGGGAAATGACTACAAAGGCGCAAAGAACTGGACCATTTTTGGCGCACCATGCCTTCCATGGGATAAGGGAAACCAAATATTCCGGACTTCAACAAAGGATAAATATTTATTGCAAAAATATTCATTCCCTGATAGCCTCATGGCTGAGCATAACTATTGTCGGAGCACTACCACGGATTCTACAGGTCCATGGTGCTTTATTGAATGGGAAAATATGTTGGGGGATAATTATTTTCCTGTGATTCCGGAGGCCTGCCATGTGCGTTCATGTTTTCGAGAAGAAATGGAGAAGGCATCTGAGACAAAGGACACACGTAAGTCGAGTGAGCTTAAAATGTCAATACCGAATGATAAGACCATCATAGGACGACTTCTCTTTCAGGTGTCATAAAACTCGGCCGTCTGAAACTGGAGCATTAGCAAATATTATTACAAGTTACCAACGCTCAAATATAAGATCTTTTCAAGATGTCGCTAGACCGCCAAAAATTGTATTATGTTGGAAAGAAAGTCTGCAAAGTCTTGCAACACTGCGCAAATTTTTCAAAATGTTATAAATTTTTTAAAATGCAATTTCATTCTACAATGTAATGACCATTGTTGTCTATGACACGTTCCCAACGCACGGGTAACTGCTCGATGCCCTTTGCCCAGAACTCTGGCGATTGCGAAGCGAAGAAACGGCCGGCATCATTTTCGAGCTGTGCTCGATCGTCGAAGTCCTTGTCCCGCAGGTGATTCTTGAGGGCCCGGAAAAAGTGATAGTCGGATGGGGCCAAGTCCGGAGAATACGCTGGACGGGGTCAAACTTCCCAGTCCAGTTCCGAAATTGTCTGGCAAGTCATCTTCCCAAAACGTGGACGAGTGTTGTCATGCAGAAGGAGATTTGTCGAGTTTGGGACGCTCTTTTTGAATGACGCCAGGCAACTTCTGAAGTTGAGCAGCGTAGACGACGGCAGTCACGGTGATACCGGTTGGCAGGAGCTCAAAGTACAACATTCCTTCTGAATCCCACCAACAGCAGAGAAGAACCTTCTTCTCGTATAACCCTAGTTTCGGTTCACGTGGTGGCAATTCTCCTCGTGGAAGCCACTGACTCTTGCGAGTATGGTTGACATAGAGGACCCAGTTCTCATCTCCAGTAACGATTTCCTTCAGAAGGTCCTTTCTGTGCGAATGAAGGACAGTGATTCGCAGACACCAACACGGCTTGCTTTGTCAGAGTCGCTGAGCCGATGAGGGACCCATGTCGAGTAAACATTCCGATAGCTGAGGTCGTTCAGATGGTTGCCGATGGCCATATGGATGACTCCAAGTGTAGTCGCCAATTCGCGAGTGGTGGCATTCGGCTTCATGTCGAGGGCGTTCCGCAGGGCTTCGTCATCGACTGTAGATGGACGTCCTGAGAGGGGTCGATCTCCGAAGGTCGTGTCGCCAGATTCGAAGCTTTTGAACCATTGAGACACCGTGGAATAGTGGATGACGTTGCCCTTGAATGCAGCGCAGATGTTGTCTGCGGTGGCTCTCGCAGAGTGTCCTTGGAGGAACTCATAGTAGACGATGGGGCGAAGAGTTGCTTGTTCGATCGGAGCCATGGCTGCCAACTAATGGCAGAAGCTGCTTTACAGGGTGGTTAAAAAGTTCGTTGACTTTTTTTTTGACGCGCTCTGATGAAGTCAAATAAAGTGTTACTGCCACTATTTCTTGTTTTGTGTATCTGCTTACATGTTATGAATACCAAATTATCACCAAAAGTCCCAATGAGATCGTATAACTTGGTATTTTAGCATGAAAACAATTAGGGCTGCCATAATTGAGCTCCATCAGAATTGTGACATTGTTCGGTCGCTTGCCTCGTCCAGAGTGTCAAAGCAGCTGGTCTCCAAAACGGTCAAGCGGTTTCAAGAGACTCAGAACCTATTTGACAGACAGAGATCTGGTCGACCATGCACTGCTGTAACCCCCCGCAACATCAAAAGAGTTTGGGATCGAATTCGTCGGAATCCCCGAAGGTCGGTGCGAAAATTAGCCACTGAGCTCGGAATCACAGATCCTCAATGATGAACATCTTGAAAAATGTCATCAAGGCCCATCCTTACAAGATGAGGAAAGCGCAGTTCCTCAACGAAACTGCTAAGAAGAACTGGGTTATCAGATGGAAAAATCTGAAACGCCGGCTCGCAGGCAAAACACACCGACTCTTCCTGTTCTCTGATGAGAAGTTGTTCACCATCGAGCACGCTTTTAATCGCCAAAACGATCGGAATCGGTCTGCTGACCCATCTACTCTATCTCCAAGTGATCGAATCGTGACTCGGAAGCAGAAGGCTGCTGGCGTGATGGTTTGGGCCGGGATCACTGCTGATGGGCGAACGCCATAGATTTTCATCGATCAGGGGGTGAAAATCAAGGCTGAGGTCTACAAGTGCGACATGCTTCAGGCCGTCGTAAAGCCTTGGGCTGAGAGACACTTCCATGGCAGAGAATGGATCTTCAACAAGATTCTGCGCCGTCGCACAAAGCTCGTCATGTTCAGAAATGGTTCAGCGACCAATTTCCTGGCCATATCACTGCTGACGAATGTCCGTCATACTCCCTAGACCTCAATCCTCTGGACTACGCCGTCTGGGGCATTCTGGAGACCAAGGTGTGCTGTAGGTCCTATGACAACGTCGCATCTCTGAAGCGTGTCCTTAAGAAGGAATGGGAGAAGATCCCACAGGATGTCCCGCGCGCTGGGTTGGAGGCATTCCCTGGGAGATTGAGTGCCTGTGTCCAATTTAAAGGGGGCCACATTGAGTGAAAAGTAGTACATGGAAGTCTAAAGATGTTGGTTGTCGTGTCTGTTCAATTTGTTTGTGCAAAACTTGCTTGTACTTGAGGAAATTTAAAAAAACCTGAAGTCAACGAACTTTTTAACCACCCTGTATATACCCCAAGGGCAGAAGCTTCGAGACAATACAAATACAAAATACAAATGCAAAGCCATCATTCCTTTGAAAATTTTTATAAATAGTTTTAGAAAGTGTTGCAAGACTTTCTTTCCAACCCAATATTTATATACCAATGAGGTAGCACTGGGTGAATATTTATTTGGGAGTATCTCAGAGCCTCTGCTTAATAGCACTTCTGAGAGCAATTTCAGAGGGATTGTGATGCCCACTAAGGGACTTCATGAGTTTTCTAAACAACCAGAAGTCACTGGGGGTAAGATCTGGAGAGTGAAGGAGATGTGGCAGCACTTCAGACCATTTTTCTTGGAGAACTTGAGGAGAACTCAGTGAGGAGCATTGTCCTGGTCGAGGATCACTCTCAAGAGGAGAAGGTTTGATCTTTTTATGATTGCTGGAAGGAGTTCATTGGCTGGCAGGTCTCTGTAGTAATGCCCAGTGATGGTTGAGCCAGAAGGTACAGGAAAAATGACCACCTTTCATCTCCAAAAGATGGTATAGTTATTCTTATAAGCACTGGTCACAACCTGGAACTTTTGGGTGGGGGCAAATCAGTGGTGTTCTGATCTCAAGTTGTTAGCTACTTCCTCCAATAAAAATGGACCGAAGTGCTCCCACATCCCCCTCACTTTCCAGATATTGCCCTCAGTGACTTCTTGTTGTTTGGAAAACTCCTCAAGTCCCTTGGTGGGCACCACTATCCCTCTCTATGTGCTCTTGGAAGTGCTATTTGGCCGTGGTTCTGACATACCCCCAAAGAAATACTTGTCCAGGGCTAACTCATGTGTATAAAAATATGGCAGTCTTGCAACATGAAGCAGGGGAACTATGTTGTGAAAAGTGAATCGTGCAAATTGGAGTTACACTACACTACATAGTTTTTGTTTTATTGAACTTCTTTGGAAACTTTTAGACTTCACTCCATATTAGACCTGTTGGAGTTCCTTGACCCAAGGATTAGCTGCAAGTAAACATAATTTACCTGCAATTAATAAATGACTAAGCTCAGTGAATTCAGAGTACAGTGATTGTTATTACAAGCATTACAAATGAGAAGAACAGAAATGAATGAGAATTTTACTCCGTAACTAACTTAATCTCCTTCCCTATCAAACACATTTGGCATAACTGTAAAATACCTGTGGTACATCTTTAAGCATGTTTGGAAATTGCAGACCTATAGGTGGCTCTCCATAAACAAATCGTTATGAGCAAAGAGCAGTAAATTAAATGCAGAAAATGGTGCATGAGGCATCATGCAAATGATTTTCTATGCCAGTAAGAACTGAACTTCTGTTGACCTACCATCCTGAGATGCTGGCCTGATAGAAGATATGAAGAGTCTGAAAGCTGGGCATTGTTCTTCACCAGAACAATGTGCCCCTTCATTGGGGCCAACATCATTGATTCACACATCATTGATTCACAAAGGAAGAACCATTCCAGCCCAAGGTGGTACTGTTGGTACTGACAATCCTCAAAAGAGTTCAACACCAGTGGTTACAGAGTTGCCGAAGTATTACATAAGAAAGATTAAGCACTCACTGAAGCACTAAGGTGAGAAATGAAATTGTCATCCATTTCAGGTCTCAGTTTTCACATTTGCAATGCTGAATAATGTAATTTTGCAATGTCCACCATAGTCCACCTCCTTTGATCACCACTTCTGTTCATCTCTCATATAAGTTTAATGCCCTAAAGATCTCATTTACAGTACCACAGCTTCATCTAGAATTCCATTCCTGGTGATGTGCTTGGAGAAAAGAGAAGAGTGGTAGACTCCATACAACACCGAAAATTTGAGAAATTTGAGAAATTTTCCAGCCCAACAGCCACATGATGCAAATGCATAGGGCATATAGAAATAATGAAAGAAATCTGAAGCTCACTTTTGTCCCTGTATCTCCTGGAGTCGTCCCTCTAGGCCATGGAGGGCAGCATGGAAGACACGGAGGAGGTGTGTGAGACCTCGGTCAGCCTCCATCACCTGCTCCACCAGCCCCATTCCATTCACCTCCCTCTCCTCTAATGGACTCCCACTCTCCAGGAGTTCTGCTAGCACCTCACTTCCCTTTGCAGAATCCCCATTGGGGAGACCCGACTCACCGTTCTTGATCACGCCATTGCTCAGCTGAAAGCATCAAAACATCCCATTCTAGTGAATCTCATCACATTTGGGAGCTCCTTGGGAGCCACAACATCCTGGAAAATCTCATATCACAACCAAACATAGTCCCATCTTCATATTCATGAATAGGATCATTTCCTTCATGAATTTTTTGCTCTTTGTTGAGGTTTACTAGTGTTGTGCCATCATGCAAGCCTTACAAGTTCTGAAATCCCTTCCAATGAGTACCTCATGCATCCATCCTTCCATGACTAAGAGATTTAAAATACAAGTGGCATCTGGAGCAGAAGGCAGAGCAACATTACCCTTGGAAGTAAGGTGATGTCAAAGCTACAGTGAATGATCTCCCGGGAATCACCAATCCAAGAATATGGGGATTTGGACGTTTTGGTGTTCAACCCATGATCCCCTGCTGAAGGTAAGTGTCTCAGCTTGATGTAAGCTAGGCTCCCATGGCAGGAAACCCAGGTTTAAAACCAACCAAGTCAGATACTCATTTCAAAATACAGACCAGTGTTTTTGGGAAAGTAGACACCTGAGTAAGTAGCACTTGCTCTCTCTAGATGTGGGGCATCAAAGAACTGTGGTGGTCAAGGTCAAACCCAGACAGTGTAACCTCAGAGTAACTACTTAAGCCTGATTGTGTTGCTCAAGGGATCTTAACAGGGAGGTTAGAGGTTGCTTGGGACCTAGATGAGGTTACAGGGGAGTGGGGTTCATATGGAATACTGATGTGAGGACACATTCATAAGCCTTGAGCTCTCTGCACCTGGTAGTGTATTGTATAGAATCATATGACAGCAAAATGCATAATTATTTCCATAAACAGTATGATCAGGCCCAGAAAGGTTTTCAAGAATACCTTGAGTGGTGAAGGAGGGGAGACATGGAAAGACTTGGCAAGGGTAAGAGTGACACTGTGGATGCGACTAAGGAGATCTGTAAGCACCACAGCACAGCTGGACATCTCTGCACCCTGATGCAGTAACATGTCCGACTCACTCCCCTCTGACCTGTACAGAGTCCCAAGATGCAAAAAAAATTACTTAAAAACTCTTGAATTGCCATGAGCAAATAAAAACTTGAGGACTCACCTCTTGTCCTCGGCCAACTGAAGGAGGCGACTGTAGCGGACAGTCTGCTCATGCAACAGCCTTTCCCGCTCCTGTGCTTCAGAACGGAGTCGTCTCAATTCTCCTTCTGAATCCTTCAGGGCTTCTTGCAGAGTGTTCTTCTCCACCTATGTGTGAAATTTTCAAGTTAGAAGATTAAAAAAAATCAACATAGACCAAATAAATACATGTTAAAAAATTACATTTGAACAATGAAAAATTTTCAGACTGGTAATGCATATTTGCAAAAAAAATTATCTTTATGTTGGATATAAGTTTTGTTTTTATAACTGTTGAGCAAAACCTGTTCATGCCCAATACTTGGTGAAGTACCAACAAACTTATGAGTATATCTTGATTCCTCTCCTTTCATTAAAACTCTAATCTGAGCCATCAATAACTCTCCAGGATAAATAAGTATCAAAAAGCTGGGGGGGAGGACAAAATTTTAAACCCTTTATATTGACCTTCCATTTCCTGCAGGTACCTAAGACTTTGGCTGCAAGATATTGATAACACATTCCTTCCATATGTCAAATATCAATTAATCTGGACATGGTTGAACAAATACCATTGCCACTCTGGAGTAGAAATGACCAGTAATCATATGAGGTGTGACCTACCTATGGTCTGTGACCTACACAGTTTGCATGGTATAAAATACACCCTTTTTTAACACGATTTTATTTTCCAAAGCTACTTAGGCCTGAAAATTTCATCATTTGACTATTGTCACGTTTCACATTAGATTAATCAGTGAACATAGACTTGACATCCTTAAAGAATACCTTGAACATGTTGTTTGTGGGGTTTAGACTACACCACCAGGCCTCAATGAAGTGCCTTAGTAGAAGCTCGAGCATTGTCCCATACATTTTTTTAGTTTGATCTTGCAAAATGCCCTGTTCACAGTCAGTTAACTACACTCTCCTTGCTACTGATTATCGAGTAAAAATCTCGGCATCGCATCGCGGCATCTACTGCTGCCGACAGAGCAATGTACCTCTATCTACCCCAATATGCATGTAGTGGCAGTTCCAGGGGGGGGGGGAGTGACTGTCCCCCCTATGGCAAGGTTTAAATTCTATTTTTTTAGTTTAAAAGGCACCTACATTAATCTTTATTGGGGCCAGTGAAGTAGATATCCAAGTTTTTACCTCAGACAGAAAATGAAAATGGCAGTAGGATGGAGAGTGCTGGTAGGTTGGGCAGTGGGGTCACATGCACAGTGCTTCCCATTCAGTGACACTGACAAGCATTTTGGCATATTGGGGGCATATTTGGGGAGAGGGGGGGGAGGTTGAGTCTGGGTTGACCATTAACCCCCCCCCCCCCCCCCCCCAAAATAAACCTCCCAATATGCCTGTCAGGTCATCACGCAGTGTTGTCATTACAGTGTAGTGTAAGACACCACCACACATGGTACGTACCCAAAGAGCTATGGTAGGTCACAGGTCATACGGTAGGTCACACCTTATATGATTACCAAAATGACCTATAAGTCTTCAAAAAAAAAGCATACAATTTGACAACACCCTTTCCATTCTTACACCATTAAAATCCCTTAAGATCAGCTCTCCATTGTGGTGATAAACAAAGTCAAAGGTTACAAAATTGACTGATTTCTTAGTTTGAAAGGGAATAGAGAATTATGTTTCAATCATAACACCTCAAAGTCGCTTTGTACATTAGTTACCATATGCATGAACTCATTCCAACCCAAATTTGATATAGGTGTCATGATTTCTAGAGAAGGAATAGTAGGGTTGAGCTTCCAGGAATAAAATTTTTTCTTTCTTTTTAAACAGTTTATTTTCCTTAGACACTGCTTATTGTGATCACTGGTTACAGACATCAGCCTGATAATGTCATCTAATCTTGAAAACAAAAACCAAATGGTGGAGCATTGATTACTGTTACCTACTGATAGCAGACACTTGATTTTATCAAATTTCCTTGCACCAAGATGACCACAAAGAGTAGCATCTACTGTTATAATATATACAGGTGCCATTCTTTGAATCTCCCTTTTTCAGTCTTTATATCAGATATCAACCAACTCTCTAGGAGGAGAAGCAAGGAAGATATCTTAAGTGAGCTGGAGGCCATTTTGGTCTGGCACCTAATTAGAACTGCCCACTTCAGCCTCTATTTGAAGTAGAGGCATAAGATGTTCACTGCATACCACAATCAGTATTGTTCTACTGCCTGCCAAATTCAAATGAATTCTGGGAAGGCTGAGCACAAACCTTTCAAACGTTCACACACTTGAGATGGAATGCTCAGGACAGAAAAACAGTACAGAGGTAGGAGTGAAATAAAAAAACTGCACTGAATGGATCATGAAAACCCATCATAATTCTTATTAACCAGGGCTGGGAATGTGATACCTGGAGGAACTCTTGCAGCTCACGTGATTCACTCTCTGTCTCCTGGAGCTGCTGCAAAAGAGTTTTCTGAGCAGCAAGGCTTTTCTCCAGGTCCTTCTTGAGGGTGATTACCAGCTGATGCAACGAGTCAATCTCCTCCTGCTGACGTAAAATTGTCCGGTGACCCTGCTCCAGTTTCTTCTCAAGCTCTGCCAGGCTCAGGCCTTGATTTGTGAACTCTTTCATAAAACAGAGGAAAATCACAAGTTCATTCACTTTACCAAAATGAATAAAAATTAACCCTACTGTACATATCCCATATTTATTGTTTTGAATTGGCAGGCCACATTTTTGGCTAACCATTTTTTAAATATTGTTTTAATGCTTTGTTGAATCTTGAAAAGATCTGAATATAACACATATGAAGTGAAGGTGTGCAAATGCTGGAAATACAAAAGAGGGTACATTTTGTACCAATGTTGCCTATTGGTATCAATTTAGTATCTTGGTATAGCAAATAAAAAAGCCTCAATGAAAGGATAGTGAATAGAATTAGGAAGAAAATTATGAGTGCTTGCAATTGGCTTGATATCAAGTTAGGAAATAAAAAGAACTAAAGATATGCAAAAGGTATAGAAGAGCTGATTATTCATTTTTTCTTACCCTTTATTATAATACAGCTGGTGCATGTTTTATAGCAGAATACATTACGGTCATGCCAAGTAGTACAAATTTAATTAAATTTGACATCAGTCTGAATGTGATTTTCACATAAAAATTAATGGTATTTGGGTTCCATGAGAAATCCCCAAGACAAAATATCCCTCTTCTACATAGAACTTAAGGGAGCATATCTCCTGGAGATATGCTCCATTAAACTTTGTGCACCAGGAGATCTGAGGGGTGATACAGTGTCATGACTAACATTTTCTAAACAGTTGAAGCAAACAACATGTAACAAAATTTTTACATATAAGAAACTTTGCCTTGGTGAAAATTTTATATTATAAATGCAAGCAGATGCAATGAAGCAAGTCTTAAGTCAATAATATTCTCATAAGCATATTATGCATCATTTTGCCATTATCAATAGATTCAGCACTTCTTGACTCAAAGCAAAAATTAACAAAATGCTGTCAAGCACACCTTTTTCAACACCTTCTAGGGAGTTTAGCATGTTCTGGACACGCTGAGAGGTGTCATCCAGTTCCTGCTGCACTTCATTCTTGATTGCACGTTCTTCCTCCAATGTTTTTCGAAGCTTCTTCAGCTCTTCCTTGAGTGTCTCCACCTCAGTAATGCCATTTCGGAGTCGTGCATACTCTGCCTCCAGCTTTGAATGCTCCTCAGTCAGCTTCTTCAGCTGATTGACCAGGTTCTGTGTGTCAGCCAAGGTGTAGGACTTCGATGGGTCATAGAAGTTGATTTCGACCTGGACCTCTTGGTCCACCGAGGATATGGAATCGACAACCAACGTGGAAGCATCATCACGGATGGTGGTGATGATATCAGGTCGTGACCTCACCTCACTGCTCAGCGAAGGCTGTTCACATATACAGCTCACTGGAGTGCTCCTTGCAGACTGAAGAGCACTCTGAATATCACTTCCATGCAGAACAGTTTGTGTGCTGCTTTCATGGTAAATCACCAGTCGCTCCCTTCGCTGTTGGGGTGTCTTGGTCAGAGGGGATGGTCTGGTCGGCGTCGATGACGTTGTCTTGGCACGTGAAGTCAAAGGTGACTGCTTTCGCTCTACAGGAGTCAGTTGTTTCCTGGCAGTTGATGGACGCGACACTGGAGTGGACTTTCCCGAGTCCGAACTGCTGCTGGCTCGTGACGTCATGCCAGTACGAACTGGAGTTCGGTGAGAAGGTCCTGTGTTCGGCGTTGGAGCTTCTGGCTTTTTGGTCGACTTGGATCTGCGCGGTAATGTGGCATAGATTGAAGTTGCCGCTTCTGGAGATTCATTTGTAGATTTTTTGTCAGTGGGAGGTAGCTTCGGAAGCTGTCGTGACTTCTGGGGTGCAATCGAAGGGCTCTCCTCTCTCTTGCTCTTTGAGTCGAAATTTCTCAAGCTAGAGTTGGAATTGCTGCGTCGAAGTGGGTGACCGGCTCCAGAGCTGGAGTTCTTCTTAGGTCTCGGCAGGCTATTAAACTTGGTCTCTTCCGTCAAATGAAAGCCCCGGGCTTTTGGAGGTCGTTTGGGCTTCTTGGGATCAGCGGAGAGGGTCATCTTGAGCTGTGAAGCCGTCTCTTTGAGGGACTCAGACCGCTTGACGGTGGATACCTTGGAGCAGAGGGACTTCGGAAGACGCTGAAAGCTCATGAGGTCCCCTGGCTCCGACTTCCGACCTGGCAAGTTTTCACTCGGTGGCGCCACCACGGGCAACGAGTGGTAGTCGGGTGACTCATCTGCGGTAATACAGGCGTAATCGTGCATGGAATATGACATGCTGTATGGTTCCATTGTGTCTCTCCTCGAAGACTCCTGGCTTTCCATCCCCTCAAATGCATCTGCAACTTGAAGAAAAACAGGAAAAGATCGTCAAATCCACGTTGAAATGGGATATTAAAACATGTACATACATGTAAAACATAAGTAAGTTATTCCTACAGCAATCTATGTCATGAGATTCAGCCCACAAAAATGTGTCCATCCCCATATCCCACGTGTGAGAATACAGCACCAACTTTGGTACAGGGAAATAAATTTCTATCCGTATTTTACGACGGTCGGGTAGTGAATGCACAAGCTGCTCTCGAGTTTTCTCACACAGACGCATCAAAAAAGCTGAAACTGAGCGAGGAAATCTCCTTCAGGGATTTCTTTTTTTCCCTGAGGAATAAAGTGGTAAATAAATACTGCAGAATAGAGGTCCTGTAGCATGATGTCCCCACTTGCCTTTCTCGACTGTTGAGATGTCTGAGAATAGTATTGACATGAAGCCCTCAATTCGAGCTCCAGCAATTCTGTCACGTAGCGACATTAAAACTCATCCTCGTCGGAAAATATTTCATATTTTAACCCAACATATTTTAATTTTGAAGCCACCAAAAAATAAACCCATCGAAATGTCCTTCAACTGTTAAAGAAACATTAGAGCGCATGACTCAATCTGTGATATATTTGATTCCGATTACAATATCACGTTTGCCATAACTTCTGATGGTTGAAAAATATTTTTAAAATTCGAATTTCGATGAGTCTTTCAGGCCGCTTGGCAGAACTCATCCTTATGCAAAACATCGAGTGAACATCGAGTGGGATGTCCAGAAGCGCTCAACAGAGCAGTTACGCGAGGTCCAATGAATGAGTCCAAAACGTCAAGTTTCAACATTCAGAACTATGAAGATAAACAAATTTCAATTTTCCATTTAAAAAAATAATGTCTGTGGTCTCCCTAATGGGAGTCAGGCTTTCCTTACAGAAAAAGCCAGAGTGAAGGGCGAAAACTCCCGACTGTTCCATACATACAGGATATTGCCTAACCTACCTGCTGAAAACGTTTGAAGAAAAAAAACTCGGAGTTCGGAACTATGGCAAAAAGGGAGAATCGATTTCGATAAGAAATCATTACTTCGCGTTTCTGCATCCTTGATCTTTGGCAAATTGAGGACAAAACTAATAGGAGGCGTAGCCGACTCGTCTCATTCCGCTTTCCCATTCGTACGGTCATCATTCCTCAAATGACGTGCCTCACTTGGATTCCATCCTCGGTACCGATACATCACGCGATCTCAGCAGTGTCTTAGCTCATCTGTCTGTAGCCTATGATCACGCAAGCGTGACGATCTTCATTACGTTCTAAAAAAAAAAAAAAAAGGAACTTGCCGTCCGGCCTCTCATCCACGCAAAAGTGATAATATCAAAGGAATCGTGTCGATCGGCGCGCATGCGACGGAAACACGATCACGATCACGATCGCGACCACGACCACGATCCCGTTCGCACTGGCGCTACGAGACGAAGAAAGGCTCGATCGTCCGTCGATCGCGAGTGCGACGGCGACACGACCGGTCCAGACACCGAGTTGCGACGGCACGCGACGGCACTCGCGCGCGATCACTTCCTCGTCGAGTGGGTCGTGCGAGGACGAGGCGACACAGGAGGGGGCAAATAGAGACGAACGCGAGAGGAGGGCATGGACGAGGGGACCAGCAGACGGGCAGCCGGACTCCCTTTGTTTATCGCTTTCAATGGTGGATGGGGGGAGAAAAGGGGGGGAGGGGGAAGGCCGGTGCAACGGAAACAGATGATTTCCTCTCCCTCCCCCCGTGCATGTCCATTATACCTCAGCTCGGTTCTCGGTTCTCTTCGGGTCTTCTCTGACGTCACCTACCAACCCCCCCCCCCCCCTCCCTCTCTCTCTCTCTCTCACCCCCGCACTCTATTGCTCATATTCTCATTGAAATTCTCTTCTTGCTTCCCGATGAGGTTTTTCTCACGATTGACAGCTTTCTAATGGGTTTTCTGCGAAACAAAGCAAGCAGACCACAGAATAAAACGCATAAGGAAAAGGTGAGACGGTGGATCCGTCGACCGATACGAAGGACGTCTTATGACTAAGTAAGAGATGGTAATTATCTGGGACGTATTTTATTTCAGCATTACGTAGATACGCGATTTTTAAAACACTCTTTAATCATTCCAGATGGAATAGGACAGTTTTTTTTTTTTTACGAACTCGAGCAAATGCATTTCGCGAAACTCGTGGTGCTGGGGAGTGTTTAAATTCTCGGTCATGGATCACCAAAAAATATTTAAAAAATCAGATACATTTTGTGAAAAAGGAGCTCCGCAATATATAATAGCTTGTATTCGATCAACGAAACTAACATCTCACTGTCGTACGCCATCTGTCTGGGAGAAAAAAAGAATGCAGTAAAACCACATATATTGATGAATTACAGTGAAAACTCGTTAACTCGAATCCTGATAAGTCGAAATTCCGCTTATCTCGAAGTTCAATGCTTGGTCCCGGAGGAACCCCGTAGGACACCATGTTAAAAGCTTCGTTTAACTCGAATTCAATTTGCCCGGTCCCTAAAAGTTCGAGTTAACGAGTTTTCACTGTACTATGCTACAATCCGAAAATTAAATGGGCTTCATATTTGAAAGACCTTCTCTACATTACATCTACCTCGACCTTGACTCCTACGGTGATGATGGGAGAACTGACAAGGTATCGGGTAACACGAGTCTATTCCAGACCGCCCATGAAAGACCATCATACCAATATCAGAGACGAACGGGGGGAGATAATGACGTGTGAGATCCCAGCGAAGGCCGTTCTCACGCCGCTCATGCGAAAGGTACGTGGTCATCGCCAGAAAGAGAGAGAGAAAAAAAAAGAAAAGAAATAAAAATAAGGACTTGGGAGATGATGCATCATGTCTCCCATTATAGATGGCAACGAAGGAAGCCAGTAGTACTGTCACGGGTGATTTATTCCGAAAAACACGGGCTGTCGATCTTCATCTCCCTTTCTTCCTCTCTCTTGCGAGTCGTGATTACAGGTATGGACACCGGAGCCGTGAAGAGATTTGTGTGCGAAACGCAATTTCGTGCTCCGAAACGGAAGGGAAATGGGGACTCGGACCGGCCCTATTTTCTCGGCACTCCCCCGATCGAGTTTCTCGATCGCAAGGCAGATGGTGCGGGCCGGAACGCGCGTCGAATCCAGGAACGGAGCCGCGAAGGCACGAGATGCGATCGAGTCGCCGAGAGACCGAGGCAAACGTCAACGTGTCGAAAGTTCTCGCGATTAAGGAGTCCTTCGGACGCAGAGTGCAGATATCGTTCCCGAGTGCATACGCTTCTTTTCCATGCCGTTCGTCTAAAAAATAAAAAGAAACCACCAACGAGGTGGTCGCACGCCCCACATTCAAGCTGCAAGACGTAAGAAGAGATGGAACGCAGACAGGGGGTCTCATCGACGACGTTTTACCAAAACATCAAGGTTCTACGATCAGAGGCGCAAACATGTCGCCACCCATTTAGGATAAGCTTCGTCTTTTTCCTCCTCTGACTTGCTAAAATTTGAATGCCTCGGCTTTTCGACAAGTCTTTTGTCTAGGTTCCTCGATTCACTTCTGAGTAAAGATGATCTTTGCCGTACGATCTGCATCGAAATTCTGAGGAGAGCTGTGGTATTTTCAAGTTGGGGCTATTTAAATATGAAATTTGTCATCCTAGAAAAGATCCAGTTTCTTTGTTTTAGATATGAAGTTAAACGGAACAAATCGTGAAGGGGGGCGGTGGTGAGAATTAATTTCGAATTCACGAATTCAGGTTGCCCTTTATTGGAATTTGTATCGAGGACTCGAGTTTCGCGAGTGTTTCGTGTCGCAGGAGTCCGAAAGGGATTGCACGCGCGACGAAATGCGAGATCGGAGGATCTATCGGATGCGAACGCGATCGCGCATCGCGAAAACGGCACGTGGAATGCATACGGAAGCGACGCGGCTTCCATCGCAGCGGATCCACGGCGACCGAGTCCGAGAGCGAATCATCGTCGGCTTTCACGAAGTAAAAGGAACAAAGGCCGCGACTCGTCGACCGGAGAGCCACACCCACGGATACGGCTTTTCGGATCGCATTCCGCCGAGAACGAGATCGCATCCGCTCGTGCGAGCGATCCCCGGACGCGCACCGATTCCGACGTCACGATCGTGATCGTCGCCTGCCCGCGCGGTTCCCGGATCCCGACCGGTCGCACGCGAGACCTATAGGCCGCGCAGCGAGACGAATGGCTGGATCGCGCACGAACGAAATGCGTGGAAGCTTCCAACGATCCCTCGGGGCCGTCAGTCGGTCGACGCCTCCGCCGTCCGTGGCTTGCGACTGACCTTAAGACGAGATAAAAAAAAAAGAAGAAAACGCCGGTTACGATCACGTAACGACCTCCCGACACCGGGTCCCGTAATGCCTGCGTCACGACCTCTTCCGCAGGGTCTTCCGGGCCGACTCGCGGACGCGCCATCGAAAGCACGCAATCCTTCGTCGGCCGCACGTAAAAGAGTATCATTCCTCCGAACGCTAACGAAGACGGACGATCGGGAGGAATTCCTCCCTCGAGGGACTCGGCTATCGAAGACCGATGGTTCGATTCGGCCCGGGAGGAATGAAAAATTCCGGAATCCCATCACGTCCTCCGATTCCGTTATCCCGCGAGCGATCGCGTCTGCCGTGCCGTGGCCTCCGTGCGCGATGACGTCGCTTCCACGCGCTCGGATGCACACCCTCGCGGAAGGGACCGACCGGTTTCGAAACGCCCGAGTGCAGATACGTTTCGGGAATCGGAGGGAGACCGTAAAAGCCGCCACGGACGATGTCGCAACTCGATGCGGTGCGGTCCCCACGCGGTGACCGTCTCCGCTCCCGACGACGATCTCGGCATCGCGAATGCGATCCGAGCCGCTCTCGAGACGCCGAGTGCGTCGGTTCGATTCCGAGCCTGCGACGACCGAAACGCGGCACGACGCGAAACGTGGCAGCGTCACGGTCCGAGCCCGTCGCGATGCGAAAGAGCCCGAGCGCGAGCGCACCCCCCTCGACATCCGTCGCAGACGAAACGCGCGAGAGATGACACGTACGGACGAGGGCGATGGACGAGGGTCGAAGCCGAAAATCCGTACGGGAGACGATCGTTTACCGGACGCGACAGAGCCTGCAGTGCGAAGTGGGACCCTAGGCACGACGAGCCGAGCCCGTCGAGCGGTCGAACGGCGAAAAGGAGAGAAGTCCCGGCAAGCGGTGAGGAAACGGTCATCGCGTGCATCGTCGAGACGAGCCGAGAGCCGGTCTTAAATGCAGCGGGGTGCTCGCTTTAAAAGGAAGAACGGGTCGTTTCGACGACTCGATTCCGTCTAAAGCGCCTCGTTTCGATACCGTCGGTTTTATGCGTGATAGTTGTAACGTGATGATTGAAAACCGGCCCGAAATACCATGATTGATATCGATGCACACGCGCGAGCTCCTCTCCCACTCTCATGTAGGAGGACCCCGGAAGGGGGGGGGGGGAAGGAGGAGAATTTCCTCTTCATTCATCATCCCATTTCTTACTTGAATCACTCGTTCTTCTACGTTCCGATAGTGGAATCGGAGGCTCCAGAAACGGTGGCTCCACGAAAAAATCATTTACAGGTATTCCATATTTCCATTCGCATTTTATGCCTCGATCGATGACGGCATCGATCGATTTCACCGAGGCTCGAATGCCGAAACCTCGTTCGGGCGCGACGGAAAGGGTCTTTAAACTCGAGAGGTCTTTTTCTCTCCGTACGAGTTCACGAATCCGTATGAGACCGTTAATTAAAGGTCTCGGCGTTCGGGCTTCGGGCTGACGGCTCGAAGATCGAGGCATCGAAGCGTCGACGAATTCGCCACGTTCAAAATCGGACAGGATAAATTCTGGATGGATTCCAAATGGGCTAATTCCGGAAGAATCGCGACACCTTCGACGTCGTCAACGAAAAGTTTTCACAGAGCAGATAATAACTGTATATGTGTATATCAATTTTTTTTTTTTTTTTTTTGGGGGGGGGGGGGGGGGGGGAGGGAATTCACTGAAGGTCTCAGCGCGGACCTAGTAATTTAATTTTTTTTTTTTTTTTGGGGGGGGGGGGGCGGAGGACGCTGATGCACTTAGCGTTGATGGATTCGAGCAGGAAAGATTGTTGCAAGGCTTCCTAACCTCTTAAGTGGGTCTGACGTATATATCCGTCAGGGTGAAACGCTCTCCAGGTGGGCTTTACTTTTTTTTTCATGTTATATTTCGAGTTTGAGTTTGACTCGATTATTGACTCGACTGCGATTAACTCGAAAGAGTAGTATGAACTCGGAAACGAGAAATAAATTTATTCCACTAATTATCATTCTCACGTTCTGAAGTTCTCATCGCTCTCGAGTCGACTCCGGTTGTCGACTTCCGTTCCGAGAGATCCCCCACTCGAGGGGTTAAAGAGAAATATCTAAACGTTTGCGAGGGCGTGGAAGTAGGACTTGGGGAAATTCACGGTCACCGGGATCCCGGAAACGAGAACCGAATCGGGAACGGTACACCTTCGGGTACACGAACCACGCGCTGCCGACCGATTCCGAGTTTGCGTTTCGCAACGGACGATCGATGCAATCGATGGAGTTCACGGAACGGACACGGAAATCTAGCGGAATGGAGCCGTGCAGAGTTGCACGATGGCGTTCCGTCGATGGCGAAACGTCGTCGATCGATGTCGAACGACGAAGCGGCAGGCCGGGAGGACCGTCTCGGCCGAACGAGGATCGGATCCGATGCGTCACGAAACGGTTCGCTACGAGTGGGACGGAATGGATCGAAATTCGAGGCGGGAAGAGGATCGGAATGCGAGGCGGATGAGGATCGGTTGGGACGAAGAAAACGGGATCCCGACTCGCTTCCGACCCTCCGACACGGACCGGAAAGAAGGAATCGAAACCGCGCGACCGAGGTCCGGCGGAAACGTACGAATGCGTCAAGGAGTTGAACGATTTTCCTCCTGCAGAGCGGTTCCCTCGTCGTATTTCGTCCGTTTATCGCTTCATCATTCCTCGGGGCCCTCGTCCTTTCCTTTTTTACTACGAGAATCCCCACCCGTGGAAGAAAAAAAAAGTATCTCATCACTTGAAGGCGTTTTTTTTTTCCACTCGTTCCCCCTCCCCTAAGTCCAAAATTGGAGGCATTCATCACAATTTAATGGCCGGTCCGAGCTGGGGAATGTTTTATAATCAGCCATTCCCACGCTTCGTCTCGTTCGACGCTCTCGGGCTGCGCAAGTTCGACGAGATCGCTCTTCGCGGGCCGGAAGATCGACTCGGAAGCGATACGAAGAGTCTCATCGAGCGTCTCGACGACTCCCCTCGGAAACGAGACGACGATCCGAAAAGTAAAGAAAAAAAGAATGAATATTCGACGCGGTCATCTAATTACCTGCGTCTCGAAAACATCACGACCGAATACGTAACGGCCCTCTACGATCGAGATCATTTGATGATGGTGCAGGTCGAGAGCGGTAAAATGGTAGGTGTGCGGCGGGAGAGGTACGATCGAGTGAAGACCGAGAACGAGGGGCAAGCCACCGCGATCGAGGAGAGGGCCAGGTCCCCACGATGGAGGAGGAGGCCAGGTCCCCGCGATGGGGGAGGTCGAGAGAAAACACGCAACACAAAGGAGTGCGTCTCTTCCTCGGAGAGGAATATCATCATGGGACCGACAGAGTCGTTCTCGAGTCATTAGAGACTCGGGATGACGACCATTAAATGCCCATATAACCATCGGGGTGGGAACGGGAAGCAATTTAACGAGGTGCATTCGTACACGACGACGGTAACGCGGGGCACGACTCGCGCGGCCTCGTCTGAGGAATCTCCCCGTTTCGACGGGCACGGGTCGGGAGCGACTCCCGCCTCGGCATTCGGACAACGACGAGCCTTGTTTCTCGAAGGGGCTCTCCTCGCTCCGGATCGACGGACGACGGCGTGGGTTCGAAAAGGCGTGGGCGTTCGTTCAAAGAGACTAAACGGGGCCCCACGGGTGTCGAGGAGCGGGAACCGTTAACACCCATACCGATTATGCAGTCCGTTCGGCACTCGACGGGGAGCATCCATTCCTCACGACCGTGTCCGATGGAACATCGAGAAACTACCGGGTGAGTTTTAGTAACAGTTAGCCATTAAATTATGCACTAATGACACCCGGAAAATATTTTAAAATATAAAAAAAAATAAGGACAAGCCCAAAGCGAAGACGAACGGCTACGTTTCTTAGCTATGTTTTCCGCCACGCGTCGGTCTGGTACCTCGGAGTCGCCTCCTCGACGACCTCCGTTTCATCATTTCGGGAGATGATGAACCGAAACGAGAAGATGCGTAGTGGACTTTCACGCACGAACTCCTGACTCATCATCCATCCCTTCCTCCTCGGGAGACATTACATAATGGAGGTGGGCGCTCGAGTCGATTTTGCATCGTTACAAAACGCTCGATCCTCGCTGCGATCGGTCCCGTCTTTCCGAATGCGGGCCTCGTGCCGAAATCCCAAACGTGGCTCGTCCGAGGAAGTCGCGATCGGGAAAACGCCGGGAAAGGGGGAAGTAGGCATGGGATCGAGGGACGCGAGTTGCGGGACGACGGGTCTCAGGCGACACCGGTATCGGAGACAGAAATCCCGAGGGGGGGGGGGGTAAGGTTCATCGCGACACACCACCTTCTCGCATTTACCAAAACTCTAAATGTGAAGTCAAAAGCCTAAAGCCAAATCTAAAACGTCTTAAAGTACATGCTTATTCAACTCATGATGTTCATGCACGAATACAGCTCGTCCGTCCTTTCTACACGGCCGATTAGAATTTGGATGCGGATAAGGCATCCCCCAAGGTTCACAATGCGTTATGGATTGCTTCGAGATCAGATTCAGATATCGTAGTTTTGGCCAAGGCTCCAGGTTTTCGGGTGCTGCCTGTCGCATTTAAATCGTGTTGCTCATTTCCGGTCGACATTTGCATGAAGTGAAAGAGGTCGAGGGTGCCAAGAGGTGAGGACGGGTATTATAGTCCGGTCACGAAGAGAGGCCATGTCTGATCGAGTTTCACGGTGACCGACTTCGTTGCATGAATTGTGCTAGCAAGGCAGGAGGTTACCCTTCAAATGGGGTTTCATGCCTCGCATTCAGGCGAAAGAAAAAAAGAAAGAAGCAGTTTTCTCTGGACCAGTTCCATGACCTGTCGATTGCCATGCATGAATGAACCTGTTTTTCTTCTTTCTACGGTCTCTCGTACCGTACACGAATACGTCTTTACGTCTCGTTATAGCACGTATACTTCGCGTTTCTTCACGGAGGGATCTCGAAGGGAACGGACACGACGATATTTGCATACTCGTACGTGCATTCCATAGTTATTCCGCGGCAATTATCACTCCGAAGCGCCACGAACGATGAGCATTACCATATGCGTTTTTGGGTCTTTCCTCATGCATCGGCATGTTTGCCGAATTCTGACAATCGCCCACACTCGCCACTAACGATACTGCCGAGTGTGGTGAAACGAGTCCCACTCGCAGACAAGCCCGTGGCCCATGGGGATGCGGGCAGAGTGTCAAGGAAGGAAGGTCAGGGTCCGAGACATTGTTGGAAAGGCGACAAAGGGAATCGGAGGCTTTCAGATGACACATACATTGCGGAATAAAGGATGACTCGTCGTGTCGCATCTCACGTCTCCACAAAAGACACTCATTCCTTCGACGGAGTCCTCCGACCGCTCGTCTGCTTTCTACCTTCCATCCCGCGGCTTGCTGCTTTCTTCTTGCGACAGTCCTTTCCCCGGGGATACACCATGCCCAAGCACGCGCCTCGTTTTCTTCTCTTATAATAATAATATTTACTCC